GCCGATGCCTTCGTGATCTTGGGGTGAGCTACCGCCTATAACGAGCAAGGGCCAGCAGTTGACTTGCGCGTTCGCCATACCTCCGAAGGTATGCAGAAGACCAGGTCCGGATACCACAAGACATACACCCGGAGTTCCGGTTAGATAACCGATGGCCTGCGCCGCATAGCAGGCTGCCTGCTCGTTCCTCATACCTATGTAGTGCATGCCCACCTGCTGGCACGCCATGCCCAGCTCGATCACAGGAAAACCGACGATACCAAACACATATTTAATGCCCTGCAAACAATTCACACTTTATTACAAATTACAATGTAACAGTGACATCTATCGGATGATATCCATATCAATTGAATGACGTTTCTGCGATGCGTCAATTGTGATAACAACAACAATATCTCAATTGGAACGGAAATATAGAATATTTACCTGGTCTTTGAGTGCTTGCGCCGTGATCACATTTCCATCGACTTCTCCCATTGTTCAATATTGAATATGTCCTATCTTTCTGCTAAAATGCTTGAATCCTCTATCTGTATATGTTATATAGAGAACTGGGATCAACTGGGACTGGTTAAGACTGGACTTGAAGTATCATCCGGACGCGCACCGATTCTAATCAGAACGCTTAAACTTTGAACCTCTGTACAGTAGTAATTATTATTATTACTTTGATGTCGTTTTTTTTTATTATTTCGATTAATGCTTATGTTATGTTACTTGTTAATTTACTATTATCTTGTTTAGCAAATAGTACATCGTTATATAAATAGATTTCATTGCGCAACGACCGCCCAAAGTCCAGGAAAACAAAAGACGCGTTTCTGTAGCGACGACAACAACATCCATCCATCCGTTCGTTCATTGGTGCAGCACCTTGATGGGTGTGGTAACAAAGGGAAGCTGATAATAAACTTTACGTTTAGATAACACAAACGACTCATCCTAATAGACGGTTGCATAACTGTATAGGGATATAAGAAGAATACCATCATTGATGATGGTGGTGGTGGTGGTAGTAGTAGTAGTGATGTTAATTAAATGAAAAGAGTAATGTTGTAATAGTTATTATAATAATTTCACAATACACAGTATTTTATGTATGTACAAAATTTACAATATAATATATAGACATCACAATTTTTCCTATATTATTTTGTAACGCATCCTAAACTTAAAATATATTTATAATATTTATATATATAATCTTAGAGCTAAATACACTGTACAGAACATATTTTCTTTTCTCCTCCTCCTCCTCCTCCTACTCTTCCTTCATCTCATTTCATCATCTCATCCACATCATATTCATTTTCAACACATGTCGTCTTTCCATTACAAAAACAAACAAAAAAAAACAAAAGAGTCCATCATCATCATAATCATCGCATTCTAACATTTCTATAATATATATTTATATAATCTTCCTTCTATTTATCATCGAGACGCGCACATAACGACATACATGATCCGGTTCCATCATGTATGCGTGATGTGCACGTTCGATTTCAAGTCGTGGCTGTTGTTTCTTTCTCTTATTTCTGTATTTATTTTCTTTTTTCTTTCATTCAAATGTTTTATCATTAACGGAGTGGAGAGGCGGGACGCAGTCGCGTACGACCGTTTTCAATCGGTTGATTGGGGGGCGGGGGCTTGGGCGTGTTTGCGTTAGGGGCGTGTGCGAGGTGGTTCTTCGCGGGGCGGGATTTATTGGGGGGTGTGGTAGTCATGTGTGTGTGTATTTATGTGTGTATGTGTGTATCTGTCTGTCTGTCTGTGGCTCATTTAGTTTCCAATTAATCATTTCGTACGAAGCACACAACAACAACAAAAAAACGTCAAACAAATTG